AGGGTCTGCTGGCTGGGTGCTGGCAGGCTTGCACCTGGCACGGGCACCGTAGCCAGCCCGTGCCCCTTTAAGGGGTCCGGGGCCAGGAGGGGGGCAATAGAGTTTCCCTGGTGTTGGCCAGAGTGGCCACCAGGGAAAGCTGGGGAGGGCTAGCCTCCCACTAGTTCGAATTACAGGGCTACACAGCCCTTAATTCGAACTAGTAAGTTCGAACTAGGCTTAATCCTCGTAAAATGAGGTTTTCCTAGTTCGAACTAAGCGCTCCGCTAGTTCGATTTAAATTCGAACTAGCGGAGCACTAGTGTAGCGCCTATGAATGTTAGTTCGAACTAATATCTGTTAGTTCGAACTAACATTGTAGTGTAGACATACCCTTAGAGATTGTGGCCACATAATGCTCTTCTAATTTGCTGTATAACTCATGGGACAGGCTTCATGTGCTCTCAACTATTTTCTTTCCGCAAAGATGAAATATCAGATGCTTAAATCAGCATGTACTTATATGTATATCATTTGCCATACTGATTTCTTTATTCATCCTTCAGCACTGAGGCAGAGGGCTATCAAAGCAGTCATATGTATGCTGGCTGCTTTTCAGAAGTGTCACTTGTGATTTATTTAGTGAGCCCCATCTTCTAGAAAACACTAACAGAATATTATAGCCTCCTTTCCTGTGCTCATTGCACATAAGGGACATATCCTGATGGTGTTACATGGAAATACAAGCTTTTAATGCAAAGAAACTGTTTTGCAGCCAAAAGACATTGCACATTTTTGGGAACTAGGTGGTGGAACCTCATTATTGGACTTGATTCGAATACCAATAACCACTGATAACATAAGGTAAGTGATAAAGAACCTTACAATGTCAGAATTAATTTTTTTTAAATAAAAACAGATTTAATCTCTAGCCATTTTATTGTAGAGAAATCCTCCAAAATGTAGAGAAATCCTCCAAAATGTAAACTGTTCACTAGGTTTCACATTTTTATCAAAGTATTTTTTCCCAAAGATCAGTTATGCTTAGTGTTGTAGGGATATCCCAAATGCCACTGATTAATATCTGTGAGCTTCTTTCCATGAAATGGTCTTGCTTCTCGGCTGTTTCCAGCCATAGTGGAAGGTAGCTTGTGGAAGGGTAGTCTCATCAGGCAGTTCATCCCTTCATTGTTGGGTACAGCATAACAGAGTCTCCTCCTCCAGTACTTCCAGTACTTCTGTGGTTGGCCTCTTCTCTCAGCTTGGCTTTCAAGCCAGCTCCACACCTCCAGGTAACTAAAACAAAAGACACAAAACAAAATTCCAAAAATATCCCAACACAAAACATGCTTCTGTCCCCTCTGAGACGATTCCCAGCCTATGCTTAGGGTCAGTGTTCAGTCCCCACCTCTCTGACCCTCTCTTATAGCCAGTACTTCTGTGGTTGGCCTCTTCTCTCAGCTTGGCTTTCAAGCCAGCTCCACACCTCCAGGTAACTAAAACAAAAGACACAAAACAAAATTCCAAAAATATCCCAACACAAAACATGCTTCTGTCCCCTCTGAGACGATTCCCAGCCTATGCTTAGGGTCAGTGTTCAGTCCCCACCTCTCTGACCCTCTCTTATAGTGTGAAGTTAGAGATTTATCTTGCTTTGTTGCTCTTTTTATTTCCCTCCAATCTGGAATCTATGTAGTAAAACAGTGTTCCTGTGGAGCCTGGTTAAAACTAGCCGTCAGTCCTTTGCTATTAGTATTAGTAACATTCTGTTTTAGACGTGTTTCAAGTGTTCTGTGTTTGATTGGATTTTAACAATCACTTCTTCTCAGTATCCACCCTTAAACCAGTGCAACCTTTTAGTATGTATATGGTCCCATTCTTCCAAAGATCATTAACTTCAAATTTCCTGACCTACCACCCAGATCATCAGCCTTCAGTTTGTCATCTGAAGGCCTTTGTAAATGGCACAACAAACCATGGAACAAAATAAATTTCCATACTACCTTCTACTTCCTGATTGGAAGGTTGCCCTTTGGCTACTTTTCTGACTAAAAGTTGGGAACCTTCATAAACAGAAGTTTGCTGTAACTTTAAGTAGGGATTTCAGGTAAACAAGGGATGACTGGGGTGCAAGAAGAGATTATGCTGAAATGCTTTGTCATAGAATAGAAGGGAACAAAATGAGTTTCTGACACTTGCAGAGGCTACTTGTATTTAGACAAAATTTCCAGAAATAAAGTTAAAAAATAAAGTACCCACAAATCAGTGGTGAGGGGTGAAGAGTCAAAGGTTCAGAAATTCAGCTACCATTTAAAAGATTTCAGCAGAGTTCAGAGTATGATGAAGGGCCATCAGCTTGTGTTGCAACCTTTAATAGAGGTTTTCTTCCTGGCTGCTTTTTTCACATTTGTTTTTAGCAGTTGCACTGAGGGAAAATTGTTGTTTATTAAAAAATGCAATTGTCTTATGTACCAATGATTAGACTGAATAAGAACTCTTCAGTTTCCTTTTCCCTCATTATTTTATAGGGCTTTTGCTATAATTCTTGTTTTGGACCTTTCCAAACCTAATGAACTTTGGCCAACAATGGACAGTCTCTTACGTGTTACCAGAAACCATGTGGATAAAATTATAACTAAATTGGGAAAGACAAATCCTAAAGTAGCTACTGAAATTAAACAGAAGATGTGGAACAATATGTCAAAGGATCACCCAGTAAGATTCTTCTGGTATTTTCTCCAAATGTCATAGGCCTTTATATAGTTAAGGATAATACTTGTGAAAATCATAAATAACTCTTTTAGATTTGTATGCATGACTGAAAATCCATTTCATGTAGATGAACCTGTTCACTGGAAAATTATAGCAATTTAATAGTTCAGTAAGAGCAGAAACAAGGAAAGACAGTTTCATATATCTTCTTCATAGACATCTAATGTGATTGTTATGGCATGTTACACCAATCACTAGAAACAGTTTTAGATTAGCAGCTTGATATTGATTTTAGAATCTTTTTTTTAAAATGATGAAAACTAGAATGTACGGAAGAAATCATCTGGCAAGAGACTTGATGAAGGTACAAATTTAAGCAGAGTATAGTTATAACAGCCATCAACTCAACTATATACTTTGCATTTATTCAAGTGTCTATCATAAACTCAGTGCCTTTTGATAATCTGACAACTAATTAAATTATAAAGTTTCAGAGATGTTAACACCAGACCTTTAAATACAATTGCTAATGTAATCTCTTGAAAAAGCTAAAACAGATTGTGGGAAATACAGCTGAAAACATATATAGCACTATGCATTCAGTTTGTACAAATGTTATGTGTATGGAATGCCTAAACAAATATTCTATAGTTCACAGACTCTGAATAAGAATTCTGCTACAATAACTTATGTAACACAATACGGTAAAGAAAATGCTAATAAGGCTCCAAACAGTGAAAAGCAAAGATGTACTAAGTATGAATACAAATGCATACGATGCTTAGCAGATTTGTTTGAAGTGTCTGGTCCCAATACTATAGTCCTTACTAATGTGAGTAATCCCATTTACCTCAGTGGATGTAAAGATTGCAGGATTAGGTTCAATAATATAACTTTCTTAGGGACTTCGAAGGTTGATCAATTTTTTTTTGGAAAAGACAGTTTCTAAAAATAAAATACTTCAGATGTCATGGTTGCCAGCAATGTTAGAATACAATTTTTTTCAGACTCTTAAAAGAGCAGGCTCATCCTTTAGGGCAAATGGTAGTAATTGCATTAATTCCTAGTAAGAACCTGGAAGTTTACCATTGCAGAGGCTGGCCTCTAAAGGGGCTGATTACACATACCAAATGAGCATATGAGTTCAGCCCTTGAATACAGAAAGGAGACACACATATAACTGTTATTTTTCAAATGCATGTCAATTCAGTTCAAAAGCAGACTTGTTTGTGGGGTAACCAAGGTTTGTCTCTTAGGCCTTGTCCACACTATTGCAATAAGTTGACCTAAGTTATGCTGGTCCAGCTACATCACCTCTTCTAATTAAGTGAGTTGGAATGACCAAAAAAGTTGCCATACCAATTTCAGCCAATTGTGATGTTACCATTTGTCTGCTAGAAACTGATCCGCTCATTTCACATAAATCACTGGAGTGTTGTCAGATGGTAATAGCTCTAAGTACAGCCTCTTCCCGACTTACGAACCAGTTACGGACACTCGGTTAGTTCGTAAGTCGGACCCCATAGAGTTACACGCGACCGCACTGTTCGTAAGCGCGGATCACGTTCATAACTCAGGGTCCGCCATTTACGACAGCTTCAGTCATAACTGCGAACGGTTCTAAGTCGACTGTTTGCAACTTGGAGGCCGGCTGTAACTACTATCCTGGACCTGATGTGAGCCAGTTACCTGCAGGTATAAAACTTGTTTGTTACTCATTCCCTGACCCACCTATTTAATCCAAGTTTATTGAGCACATAGTACTTGCATGTAAGTTTCTGTACAAATGTTAAATAGATAATGTATGCACCTCTTACCTAGGTTTCTGTTTATATTACAGAATTTTAAAATTCATATTTTTTAAATTTTATGTTTTGTCAAAAAGTATACACTTCATCAGTTATGGTCAACCTATTGTCTGCGGGCCACACACAGCCAATCAGGGTTCTATGTCCAGCACACAAGACATTTTGTTTACCGTTGTCTATGAGCAGGGTTGCCAGAGTCCAATGGTTTCCATCTGCACAGGGTTTTTTTTCCTACTGGTATTACTAAAGCAATGTGCATGTAAAGTAAGACCACGTAAAATGAGGTGTGTGCTGATTACACACAACATTGACCATGAGAAATCGTGTGCTCCCTTTATATCCACTTAAAGCGCTGCTATGTTTCATGCCACAAATTCTAGGTGTGCAATCACAGTTAGCAAAACTAACTTATCCAAGGAGACTGCCTAGTGACCACTGAGATGAAGTAGGCCACTTGTGGCCCATCACTGTTCCACATCATACATTGACCTTCAGTGCATTTATTTCTTCTCTATTCAGCACTCTGCTTGGTATTGAGGAGGCCACATTAGGCAGCCAGTTATCGCTCCTTGATCCCATGTTTGCCCAGCCCTGGTGCTGCTCTAACTTGCATGCCCTCTATATTGGAGTAGGAATCCATTTCCAGCAGGTTTATTCCAAAAAGGAGTTCCCTTCCCCAAGAGGTTCCTCCTTTCCTTACCCCCTGCATCCTGGCCATTTGCAGAGAGATTATTTAGAAAATACGGCCCTATTTAATTATACTGCATAAATGTTGTGTCTAACATTGTGATATTGTTTAAGAATCATTCTCATGCTGTTTTTGATGTTTAGCTAGCTTACTGTTCTCTTGTGACTGGTTTATAAGGTTTTAAATATGTTGTTAACAGGATCATGAATTAATTGACCCTTTTCCAATCCCTTTGGTGATGATTGGAAGCAAATATGATCTTTTTCATGTAAGTGATGTTGTATATACATTTTTAATTTGGTTTTATTTATTTAAATTTTAATAATTAAAAAGACACTGAGCCAAAGCTATGTGATTCCTAATACATGATTAAAAAGGCAATAAAATCCCAGTAAAGTGACCATTGGAACAGGAGCTCAGCCACCTACAGTAACTTCTTTTGACCTCTTCATCATTATGGGACACATACCATCATCCGTATGTGTCCAAAAGCCTTTGCAAACAAGTATCCTTTCCAGCATATCTGGAAGAGCACCAGATTTGGTCTGTTTCAGACCAAGGAGGGGACCACAAAAATTTTCCTGGCCCCCTTTTTTTTTTTTTTTTTTTTTTTTTTTTGTATAATAAGAGGAATCCTGCTTTGGTATTGCTACTGGCTGCAGTTGTGGCATAGGGAGACAAGCAATCCCTCCAGTAGGTTGGTCACTGTTTTGAGGAACTGGGGCAGCCTTAGGAGCAAAATGAGTTATGCTCACTTCTTATTTCTGGAGTTTTAGTTTTAAACACTTGCTTACACATTCATTTATCTTCTGAGGCTATGTCTACACTATGGGGGTTTTCCAGGATTCCAAAGATATCCCGGAAAAACTCCGTCATGTCCAGGGAATGCATCTACTCTTCTGCCTTTTTTTTTTTTTTAAAGGAAAAGCAGACGTGCTCTTTCGGAAGCCTTATCTTCTTCTTCCTCCCACGAGGAAAAAGGGCTTTTCCGAAAGAGGAGGCTTTTCCGAAATTTGGCCCAATGTTTTTCTTCTGAAAAAACTATTGGGAAAGGGTATGCAAATTGTGGACATAGACTGATTTAGAAAGGACGAGTGGTCACATCTTTTATGTTTCTCTGTAAATTAATCGACAAGCAATGTCCAAAAGCAGTTCAGTTGGTTCCGTGTTTTTACAACCCGCCGACAAATGCACAGTTTGTTTTCATGAAACAACTGATCTACTTAAGCCTGGACAGACATATTGTGGCAGCTTCCGTACTGAGTTCTTTTAGCTGGCAGTGCAATATACTGCTTTTTGGCCAACTATCTCAGTTATTTAATTTTTACTAGCAGTGTATTATGCATTCTTTCATACCCAGGTTTTCCTTTTTTTAAAAATAGCCATGATTTTCTTGACTCAGTAAATGATTCAGAACATAATGACACAGGATGGAATCCTGGGCCCTTTGAAGTCCAGAATGTTACCCACAATTTTCCCAAAAAAGGTAATTCATATAATCCTATACATTACTGAACAGGCACAGTTATTAATTGAAGGGTGTGTGTGTGTATGTATGTATACGAACACATTGTAATTGGTTTGACTGGTGGAGTTTAGGTGATATAGAGCCAGTTCTTTTTTTGTAATGGTACGCCTCAGGAAGGCCTATTTTCCCTGCATCCCTGCATAACTTAAATGAATTGCATACTGGCACCTCTTTTCCTGGGGCGGCTGTGGGTTTTTCCCCCCCTTTTTTTCCCCCTCAACAACTTTTCCCCCTGTATAGAGCCTTAGGTCCAGAGACAGTCAACTATTGTGACATAAAAAGAAAAGATTATCTTATCGTATGTCCATGTTGTTACTTTTTACATTTTAAAGCTGGAGAGAACTCATTGGAAATTGAGTGCACAACTCAAGCTAATAGGCTCCTTTAGGCAGTAGTTGAGGTTGAAGCTAAAGTAACATATTTCCTGTAATAAGAGCCCTAAGTAAAAAAAGAAAGAAAAATTGTAACAATTATTGTTCGTCGAGTAGTGTCCCCGAAGGTGATCCACTTGAGGTGCTGGGCTCGTCCCGGCACCGCAACCGGGACGAGCCCAGCCCCTCGAGTGGAGCACCCACGGAGACACACATCTCGAAGAACAGACGTTACTGCACAGGGTGAGTAACTCTCTCTTTTAAGTCATGATAGGTTGTTGTTGATTTCTGGTATTGTGACATAATTTTCTTATACAGCTTTTCACTTTAAATAACAGCTAAATTCTTTCATTGTGGCATAACATGTAATGCAGTTTATATTTAAAATGTTCTTAGTGTTAACATGTTTTGTCTTTACTTCAGGAGTTTGACCCTGAGATGAGGAAAATAATGTGCAAGACACTTAGATTCATTTCACATTATTACGGAGCATCACTAGTGGTTTGTATATATATATCTATATATCTATATATATATTTTGTTTGAGGGGGAGCAGGATGGGCAGTATTTGTATGATGAAACAATAATTAAAATAGATATATAAAACATCTAGATGAACATGACATGATTGGGACAAATCAGTAAAGCTCATGATGACTTTCTCCATTAGTGAATCTGTTGAGTAGGGATGTTTGGGCCTGCTGGAAAAGTGTGAGGTATGTCCAGTGAATAAGCCTACACTGAGAGTCTGCTAGTCAGTATTCCTACAGGGAATACACAGGGGTTATGTCTCCCTAATCATAGAACGCGGTGTTAACAAGTTACCCCCAATAATAGTGGTAATCCTGTACTTTATTGCAATATTCCACCATATTTCACCACAGATTTTCTGTGCAAGATCTATTTCTTGAAGCTTTATGTTAAGACAACACCATTTGTGCCTTCTTATCTTATCTCCACTAGCAGGTATGTTAAAGTACAATCTTCTTACACGCGCAACCGCAGGATGCTTTTAAGAGATGATACAGATAAAAGGCATAAATCTCTCTTCCATCAAGAATGAAAATAACATTTTCTTAGTGTAAATGGAAAACTTTACCTTGCTACAGGAATTATTTTGAAGTTCTTGTATAAATTGTTTATATAAAATTTCTCTGATTGAATAAAATCACTCTAATTAAAAGCAGTGAAAGCCAGATTAACAATGCTAATTAATTCTGATGTGTTTCACTGTTCACATAATGATGCCCTGTACTGTAGATATTCTGTGGTATTTATGAAGTAAATAGATGACTGCATGCAAGGGATGTTAAATATAGATTAATTAACTACTCGAATAGTTGATGGGATTTCCATCAACTATTCGTTTAGCCCAGGGGTCTCCAAACTTTTCAGCCCGAGGGCCGCATTAACTATCAAACAGCAGTTCGGGGGCCGACTACACACTTGAGGTCCAAATAAAAAACAATCAAAACATGGATGTTGTTTTTAATTATTTATTTAATATTATTTTATTCAGTTATTATTTAATAACACATTGATACACTACACATGAACACCTGTATTAGTGTGAATGGTGAAATTGTTTCCTGGATGCCAAAATAGCAGACATTTCTGGCTTTAGATTTGTTGTCCCTAACATCAACAGTGACCTGAAATTATCATCGGACAAGTTTGTTCTCAAATTGTTCTTCACGTAATTTTTTTTCCGTAGACAAAAAGGTCTCCACGGGCCGGATGAGAGGGCCTCGCGGGCCGCATCTGGCCCGCGGGCCGTAGTTTGGAGACCCCTGGTTTAGCCAATAAGGGTGCTTCTGCCTTTGAACTGTAGCTGCAGTTCAAAAGTGGAAGGCCCACTGGGAGTACGGGGACCAGCAGGGGTCTGTCCCAGCAGGACTCTTGTACATTCAAAAGGAAGCCCTGCAGAGAGCGTGGGGCCAGCGATGAACTCCCCTGCTGGCCCCACACTCCCTGTGGTGCCTGAGCCTTTGAAATGTACAAGAGCCCCACTTACACATTTCAGAATCAGAATTGAAGCAGAACTGGCATGAATGGAGACTGCTTCAGTCCCTGTTCATGCCATTTCCCACTGTGCTTTTATCTCCCCTGTCCCTTGCAGAGACGGTGCTGGGGGGAACTGGCTTTTAAGCGGACTCCCCTCCAGCACTGGCTCCTGCTCCCCCATCTTGCTGCCTCTCTCTGATAGAAGCAACAAGGGCGGTAGGGGAAGCAACTAGTCACATCACTTGTTGATTATCCAATAAGCTTTTGCTTATCAAATAGTCAACTAGTCTCTTACGTCCCTACTTCATGCTAGCAACTGCAGGAAAAATGGCTTTAATGGGTGTGAATGCATGCTAGTTATAGCCCTATCTGAAATCCTCTTGTGGACAGTCATCGGGCTGTTATATTAGACCAGAGGTGAGCAAAATATGGCCCCTTGGGCCTAATCTGTCCCGCCAAATATTTGAATCCAGCTCGTCACAATATGCTGTGGCTCAGTATGACACTCAGGCAGGCTCTCTGCCTGCCACATCCTCACATGCTGGTTAAAACAGCTGCCTGTTGGGGCCAGTGTGTATGTCTCTCTGTGACGTTGGGGGTCTTTGCATGCTACCCCACAGCTCCTGTTGTTCGGAAACCAGACAATGAGAGGTGCCTGGGCCGTGCTTGCAGGCCTGGGCAGCACACTGAGAAACCCCACCCCAGGACCACACCACACAATGACACACAATTCCCTTCCTCCAATTCACTTGCTGTCCAGAACTTTGTTCAGAGTCAAACAAGACCACATTCACCTCATCATTATACTACTGGTATGGTTGTGACAGTACTTGAACTTGGCCATATTGACCCTGTCACTCTAGCCTCTGCTCTTTCTCTGGCTGGATCCAGGTGTGATTTTCAGGGCATTAGCTACCTGCTCCATTTCTGCCTATGAGACTTCTACCTTATGGCGTAGATGCTATGTGGTTAATGCATTTGGAGAAATCCCGTTTCAAGACTGTCTCTAGGAATTGCTTTTGAATAGTAAAAAAACCCCTCAGCTAGGAGCACTTACCTGGCTAAATGGAAGCGCTTCTCTATTTGATACCAGCAGAGAGGCATATCCCAAAGCATGCATCCCTGAACTTCATGTTGAATTATCTTCTATACCTATATAAATCAGAGATGGGTTGTTTTACAGTTATTCTTCAGGAGGACTCCAAATACACTTCCATGTTTGCTTATGAATCACCTACTGTGGAATGATCAGATGCAAGCACTTGAAGAAAAATGGTTACCTAGCTTTCTGTGACTGTTGTTCCTCAATTTGTGTGGCATGTGCGTTTCATGGCCCCTCCTCCTCTTTTTATTGGAATTTATTGGGAATGAAGGAAATGAAAGCGGGGAGGCAGCTCCTCCCTGTTACATCAACATGTAGTGACGTATGGTGACATAAGGGCCCTCAAGTTTCCCAATGAGTATTACTAAAGGAAAAAGTTCTCCAAAATCTGTGCATGAGGCATGCACATATTTACAGTTGAATGAAAACATCTTGAAAAACAATAGTTACGGAGAGGTAGGTAACAGTTTCTTCAGGATTTGGCCTGAAAGATATAGGTTTGCTGATGAAAAACAAATCCAGAAGCTGAGAGAAAAGGCTGTTTGGAAAAACATTTTAGGAGACCTTTTCTTAGTAATTTGTACAGTCAGCCCTTATCCTTATCCTGCCACTAACCATAAAACTACTATTTATCATATGATTTAAGTCCCAAGAGCATGTGTTATATAGTTGTTTGTTACATTACAGCTCTGAGTGTTTTATGGTATGCTGGGAAATTTTTACTGTAATTAAAATATTTAATAATTCATTACTCTTTTGCAAAAGGTCTGTCTCTCTTAGTTTAAACTGTATAAATAAAAATGTGATTCCATTTTCTTTCTTTAATGTAAGTTTTCATTTTGTCTTTCTTGACATCTGTAGTCACTGACAAAAACATTTGTCCCTTTAAGAGACTGGGGCAGAATTGGATGCCAAACACCGGTGTAAATTGGGCGTAATTCTTATGAAACCAATTAATTACACTACTGTAACTGAAGCCTGCAGCACACTACGAATTTATGTTGGTATACCTACATCTCTCAGGGGCATGAAATATCCACACCCAAGAAACATAGCTATAATGACCTAACCCTGGTGTAGACAGCACCAGATTGATTGTAGTATTTTTCCATTGACCTAGCTACCCCCTCTCAGGGAGGTGGATTACCTAAATTGATAGAAAATCCCTCTATCTGTATAAGTAGCCTCTACACTGAAGCACCACAATGGTGAATCTGTGTTGCTGTAGCATTTTACATGTGGAAAAACTCTGTTAGATTGTGGACCACATTCTCTATCTGTAATCTTCACTTTCACAAAACCTCATTTCCATTACAAATTTCTGTGACAAAAGAGCATAACATGTACTTTATTCTTTGATTTCTTTTAGTTTACCAGCAAATCTGAAGCCCTTCTGCTGAAAGCCCGCGTTCTTATTAATCATTTGGCATTTGGCTTTGACAGAAGGTAACAACTGTCTTACCTAGTATTGACAGCTTTGCACAGAGTTTATCATCTATTTGTAAATGTCTTTCAAAGCTAGGTTTTTAACCCAAAAGTAATCAAAATATATTTTCTCCAAAAATACCACCTGTAAATAAAAGATTCTTATTCGTGGGTCTTGGGGAACATAGCTTTAACAGGGTAGATGAAAATTCCAGTGTTCTTAAGGATTTTTTCTCCCTACCGAGTGTAGTAGTGGAGAGGAGCACAAGCTACCACCAGCCACCCCGATCATGATTTTAAGGTTTATTTCTATTTGAAACTAAATATAAAGCTTAGCTTTAACATAAGAACGGCCATACTGGGTCAGACCAAAGGTCCATCAAGCCCAGTATCCTGTCTGCCGAAAGTGGCCAGCACCAGGTGCCCCAGAGAGGGTGGACCAAAGACAATGATCAAGAGATTTGTTTCCTGCCATCCCTCTCCAGCCTCTGACAAACAGAGGCCAAGGACACCATTTTATCCCCTGGCTATAATAGCCTTTTATGGACCTAACCTCCATGAAATTATCTAGCTTCTCTTTAAACTCTATTATAGTCCTAGCCTTCACAGCCTCCTCTGGCAAGGAGTTCCACAGGTTGACTATACGCTGTGTGAAGAAGAACTTTCTTTTATTAGTTTTAAACCTGCTCCCCATTAATTTCATTTGGTGTCCTCTAGTTCTTCTATTATGGGAACTAATAAATAACTTTTCTTTATCAGCCCTCTCCACACCACTCATGATTTTATAGACCTCTATCATATCCCCCCTCAGTCTCCTCTTCTTTAGCCTCTCTTCATATGGGACCCGTTCCAAACCCCTAATCATTTTAGTTGCCCTTTTCTGAACCCTTTCCAAGGCCAAAATATCTTTTTTGAGGTGAGGAGACCACATCTGTACACAGTATTCCAGATGTGGGTGTACCATAGTTTTATACAGGGGCAGTAAGAGATTCTGGGTCTTATTTTCTATCCCTTTCCTAATGTAGTGTAACTATTTGACAGACATTTGATTACTAATATGAACGTTTTTAAAACTTTTCATAGCAAATCTATATCAGTGGATCAGAATAAACCATTGTTTATCCCAGCAGGATTGGATTCTCTAAATCAAATAGGTTGGTAAACTTCTTATCCAACATTTTTATTGCTCAAATAGCTTATTAAAATGAGGGGAAACTAATTTAAAACAGATGAAAAGAAATACATGTTATACAACATTGATTTAACCTGTGCAACTCAGTGCTATATGACATTACTGAGACAAATAGCTTAGTAAATTTAAAAGAAGTATTAGAATTGTATATTACTAAGAATAGCCTCTGCAGTTATATTAGTTGGGATAAAAATTGTAAGCATATTTTGGACTTAACAATTCTAGATACAAATTGATAACTGGTTTGTGTTGAGAAGAAAATATCCTATTGCAGGGGTTGGCAATAATTTTTAAGCAGGGCACGCCACAGTTTTGGCAAGTGATCAAGGGCTGCCTTTCTATGGAGGGAATGTGGGGTCTAGGATAAAGGTTGGGTACAAAAGGAAGCTTGGGGTAGAGGACTGGGGTGCAGGAGGGGTATAGGGTCTGAGAGGGTGTTTGGGTGAAAGAGGAGATTGTGATCTGGCACAGGAGCTTGGGGTGCAGGGTCTAGGAGAGGATATGGGTGCAGGAGAGGATTCTGGCGTGGGGGTGGTTGTGCAAGGAGGGAGTTGTGACCTACAGGAGGTAAGGAGAAGGGGTTTAGAATGTTTGGGTGGTGACCTGGTACGGGAGTGGGAGGGGTGGCCTGGGGCAGGTAATTGTGGTGAGGACAGAGGTGAGCTGCTTACCTAGGTGGCTCCCAGCCAAGAGCTCTGCAGGAACCTGAGGCAGGCTCTCTGCCTGTCTACTGCAGTCCCAGGCTGGTTGGCTGGCTGCTCCTCATGGCTCTGCTCTGGGCATGGGGGAGGAAGGCTTCACACACTATCCCTATCCCCAGCATCCAGAGCAAAGAGTGCCCTTACCGCGGGGAGGCCCCTTATCCTGCCTGCCCTGGGGCCGCCCGACACTTGGCCCTCCTGTCCCAACCCAGGGGAGGTGGGACTAGAACCCATGACCCTGTGGGTTCTCAGTTCCTGTTGGCCAGAAACTGGCCAATGAGAACTGAGAGATGTTGCTGGGGGGTGGAGCAGTACACGAAGCTTCCCCTCTTTTTCCCCAGCATCCAGAGCAGAGAGCAGCTAGCTGTTTAAAGTGTGAGTGCTCTGTGCCTAAGGGTCCTGGCGAGGCAGCTGTGAGTCGGCTATGGCAGCTTGGCAGGCCAGATTCAGCCCACAGGCCACATCTTGCCCACTCCTGCCCTGTTGTATAGTCTTACACAATTAGCTTCCTGATGGAGATTTACACCTTCTTTAAGCTTGTCTGACATTTGCCACTGTTGAAGACAGCATACTATACTAGAATATCCATTGGCTTAACCTGATATGGTAATTTCAGTATTGTTGGGACAACATTCTGATGCCTTTCTGTATCATGCTGTGATCTTTAGGACCACCACCTGCTTCTGACAGTGATATTGGAAAACTACATGCACATACACCTGTGGATTTGTGGAAAAAAATATTCAACAAAACATTTCCACCTAAGGTAGGTATTTTTAGTTTTGCTGAACAGCTTCTTTCCTCATTCAGAACAAATGAGTAATACCTTCCATCTGTGGAATTTTGAGGCAGTCCAGACGTGTTGCTGGAAACTGCATGACTAAAAGTCTGTCCTTCAGTTCTGGCCATCAGAACTTCTGCTTCTGGTGGCAGAGCCAGTTAGCAGTTCAATTTCTCCTGACTGCTTTATTTTATAACTTAATTTTTATTTGCTTTTGTGCAGTAGTGACTTAATTTAAACTTCTAAGTCAGGGATACTCAACACACAGCCTGTGGCCTGCACAGTGTGGTTTGGGTTTACACGGGGTTCAACACCTGGCCTGTGGGTGGGATCCTTTGAACGTGGCCTCCATTGGGAACACGCTTCACAATGGCAAGGTGTCTTCCCAGATGGGGTGAGCATTGAAAGATGCAAGTGGATGGGCTGGCTGGAACAGACAGGTACAGGGTGTCAGCATTTCTAGTCCCCAGGGAGCAGGTGCCAGGAGCACCAGGACATTGTGTGAAAGAAGCTATTTGCATATATATTTGCATGTATATGCAACTGAACTTAAGTTGCAGCCCTTGGCATGTGCTGTGAGTATCATTGTGGATCCCAGGGAGCTGCCTTCCCCCCTACACACTGCTGCCTCTGATAGGGAGCAGCATGGAAGGTGAGGGGGGAAGGCGGGGAGTCAATACATGTGGAGAGCTGGCAACATGGAAACAGAGCTCACCCTGGGCATTCTGGTGCAGTTCTTGGACTTCCTGCTGCAAGCCTGCCAGCAATGGCTGGAGGCTGCCTGGCACCACCTGGTGCACATCAACCCCCTGCCTCTCCTCCTGGCCTCCCTGGGGGCTGTGGAGGAGCCGCAGCACCGCCCGGACGCCAGCGTGCCCCGCTGCATCTGGTGTCTGGGCACCAGCAGCGACTGGTGGGACCGCATCGTCCTGGAGCTCTGGGGAGACAGACAGTGGACCCAGAACTTCAGGATGAAGAGGGACACCTTCCTGGAGCTCTGCGAGTGGCTCGCCTCTGCTCTGCAGCAACAGGACACTCACGTGAGCCCCGCCATCCCCCTCCAGAAGCGGGTGGCCATCGCCCTCTGGAAGCTCTCCACGCCGGACAGCTACCGATCCGTCGGTAACCAGTTCGGTGTGGGGAGATCCACCGTCGGAGCAGTGCTCATGCAGGTACGGCACTTGCCGGCCACTGCACCGGGGGAGGAGGGGGCTGCAAGAGGGGATGGGCCACCCTAGGGACAAAGGACCTCCCGATCCGTCGGGAACCAGTTCGGCGTGGGGAGAGCCACCGTCGGAGCAGTGCTCATGAAGGTACAGCACACACCGGCCACTGGGCCGAGGGGGCGGGGGGAGGCGGCTGCAAGGAGGGGATGGGCTGCCCCAGGGGAAACGGGGGGGGGGGAGGAGGGGCTGCAAGAGGGGATGGGCCACCCTAGGGACAAAGGACCTCCCGATCCGTCGGGAACCAGTTCGGCGTGGGGAGAGCCACCGTCGGAGCAGTGCTCATGAAGGTACAGCACACACCGGCCACTGGGCCGAGGGGGCGGGGGGAGGCGGCTGCAAGGAGGGGATGGGCTGCCCCAGGGGAAACGGGGGGGGGGGAGGAGGGAACAGTGCCCCGCATGGGAGGGTTCGGTCTGTCCTGGCCGTACTACACGCCGCCCACGGGGGTTGTTTCTGGGAGTGGGGCGCGGGGCAGTGCCAGGGAACGAACACTCCCAGCTACCCGGGTGCCACAGTGATTCGCAGTTTGCTGTGTCTCTCGGCAGGTGGTCAAGGCCATCAACCGGGTGCTGCTCCACAGGGTGGTCCGCCTC